CAGTCCCAAACTGGTATGGTGCCAAAATGTGTGTTCTTTTAATTTGATTGAATTGGTTTAATATTTACACTTCTACTCTAAGCAATACGGAGAGATGAAGGCTAGCAGATCAACAGCAGTTGGCTGAATCTTACAAAATCTGCCAAAACATGTCACAGTCAGTTTATCTCCACAACCAAAAGAAAGAAATAATAATGATATTTTGCTTAAAGAAAAAGCAGTTTGCTTAAATTATGGTTATTTTAGGACCACTGGGGATTTTTTTTTTTGCACTGTGACATTATTTTCATGACATTTCCTTCAGTTGTCAATACCATAATGCAAAAAAAGATTCTCGTTATATTTCATTTACCATAATGTGGCATTATATATGGGCATGTCATGTAATGTCACTTTACAGTAAATAAAATATGATTACAAGAATCTTTTATTTATAGATAGATAGATAGATAGATAGATAGATAGATAGATAGATAGATAGATAGATAGATAATGTCTTGAAAATAATGTCACAATTAAAAAAAATCTCAATTGTTTTAAATGTAGGCTTTTTTTTCCTTTTTGCACATGGACAGTGAGTTGGCTATATTATTGTGTGTGTGTGTGTGCGCGTTTGTGTTTGTGTTGATTAAAGAAGTTATCCATATGATCGTTTTGGCTTTTGGGCCAAATATTTTGGGCAAAAATACAGTAAAAACAGTAATACTGTGAAAAAATGTTACAAATTAAAATAACTGTTTTCTATTTTAATAGATTTTAAAATGACAAATATTCCTGTGATCAGCAATCATTGCTCCAGTTTTCAGTATCACAAGATCTTTCAGAAAATATTATTATTTATTCTAATTATAAATATTCTAATAAATATTCATTATTATTTTTAAACAATCTTTTCACTTTAACATTTTTGTGGGAACCATGACACACTACCATTCAAAAGTTTGGGTAAGATTTAAAATAATAATAAATAAATATTATTCAGCAAGGATTGAAAGTCCATGTAAAGGCAATTCAGAGGATTCTAAACACATTATAAGTGTTAGAAATGTATTGCTGAAAACACATTACAAAGACTGAGAACTATGTAGTACTGAATTGTGGAGTTAAACAGTTTTTCACTATTTTTGTGTTCAGGATTTTTTTGGGTGGGGCTGAAATCATGTCTCAGTGACGCACCGGAGCCACTGAGCATGGCCCCTCTCATAACACTATAAAGAAGTGTGTTCGACTTGAAGCAGCGCTGCGCAGATGACAGGTAGCATGCAGAGTCGTCTGCTCTCTGATAGCTCTCACAGTACTTTGATCTCATACACCGATCTGTCTGCGCAGCGCTGCTTGATGTTGAAAATAACTAATAACTAAAGCGCAATTAGCATCAGTGGTTCGCCCGCTCAATCACGAGTTACTGTCATTACCGTTAGTCACTACAGCCTACAGTTTGCTAGCTAGCTATGCCTTTGTCACGTAAATGCATATGACCAAACATGTATGGCTGTGTAAATCCAAATAAGCTGCTAGAGGGAGCATCCATTCGGGTTGTAGCGGCAGAGCCGATCCTCCTTATACACAAAGTACGCAGGTTGCGTAGGGCCCCCTTGCTCTCAAGGATTATTTAATTTTAGTTTCGTTTTTTATTTTAGCCAGCGGTTATGAAAACATGAATGTTCCTTTCCTTAATGCGGTGCGCTGTCGCCCTTTCTACATAACATCCAAATCAGTCGAATCATGTAACGTGACTGTCATATACAGTCTCCTGCCGTTCAGTTATATCTGTAGTGAAAATAAACAGTTTGAAAAGTAATGGAATGCTTGTCAGTATCTGTGCATTCCGTGACAGCATCCTACTGTATAAACCTGCTGCTGTCTGTCATCATCTGTTAATCAAACAAAACAAAAAGTGAGAATTATTCACTGCTTTTTACTGAATATTGTATAATTTTGTTATGAATCAATTTATGTTTAATTTATATGGTGAAGTCTATGCAGTGCTTTATTTTTACATTTGATTACGTAAATCAATTTCTGTATAGTAGGCTATTATAGGCTAAATTGTTTAATTGATAAAATAGTTTTTTATGAATGCACAGACAGTCAAATTTGGCTGGTTGGTTAACTCAGAACACGTATTTAATTTAGCTTTACACAGGCTTTAAATTATAAAAAAAAAAAAAAGAAGTGAAATATATTTATAATCTTCCATTTCTATTTTAAATAAATGCTCTTGATTTGAACTTTCTGTTCATCAAAGTATCCTGAAAAAATGCATTACAGTTTCCACAAAAGATGTGAAGCAGCATGCTTCAACATTGATAACAGTAAGAACCCTTAATAATCGAGCACCGATAATAATTGATGAAAACTGAGAACAAATCAACATATAAGAATAGAAAAATAGAAATATATAAAATATAACACATAAAATATCAAAATAGAAAGCCCTTATTTTAATTATTTCACAATACTACTGTTTTTACTATATTTTAAATGAAATCACCGCAGCCTTGGTGAGCATAAAAATCTTTTTTTTTTCAAAAACAAAAACAAAAAACCATAGAGTCATCAAAAACCACCTTGAGAATAGTAAGTTAAAAGTCATACAGGTTTAGAACTACATGATGGTGAGTAAATTATGACAGAATGTTCATTCTCGAATGAACTGTCCTATTAATTGTCCCAATACTTTTTTGGGGCTCACTTATAGAAGTTCCAGCATCAGTCTGTAAAAACCTTTCCAGAGTCTAATATCGCTTATTACCTTATGCTAATGTAGCACAGCTTCATAACATTTCCAAAACAGCTGAATTTAAAGTGGCCTTTCCTAGATGTACATGTGCTGAAACTCTTTCTTATGAGCCTTTTCAGTTCCGGTCGGGCCTTCCAGCTATTGCTTTTTCCTTTCTTTTGTTTGGCATGATTGTGGCAGCGTGAAACTTGGCTTCACGGATGTTTAGCATTGGCCATGGCCGCAGATTGTGGCAGCACAGCACCTCTGTGGTCTCACAAACACTCCCAGCATGCCTGACTGCTAATGCTCCTTCATGGAGTGGATGATGCTTTATCATCCCTAACGTTCACAACTCGGGAGGACAAGCTAAATGTGTTGTTTTTCCACGCCGATTTGTTGTTCTTGACTGGGACATGCGGGGCTGAGCTGGTCACAGTTGTAGTGGGGAAATTAAGATGTTTTTCGGGTCTCTGTAAATGTCATGAGCGCTTGAAGGTGTCTGATTGCTCAACCATACAAATTTGCATTGGCTGTTGTCTCACGCCGGCGCTAAAAGTAGTGTTTTACTCTGCGTGTGAGGATAAAGTGTTTAAAAGCATTCTTTGGTCATTTTATGCCTCTCAGCTCTGTGGATATAAATATAGAGCAAGGTGACTTTTGCTTTTCTGCTGTCTTCACCTGCAAGGTATAATGGATCCCCATTTTGAATGTAAACCATAAGGGAGTGATGCAGCCTCTAATTATCAGCTGTTACTGGCTTGCAGTGCAGTGTATCAGATACTTGTGCTTGCCTGTGTGTTGACAGAGCTTGTCGTCCAGGTCTGGGTATTATGCTGTTGAGAGCCACTTTTGATTGCTAGCTTCCATCAGCGTGTGTTTAGATGGAGAGGTTTGATAAAGTTCTGCCGTGAGCAGCAATTACCAGCCTTCTCCTCTCGGTTGCTGAGAGCTGCAGTCTTGTAGACGGTGTGTTCCACACACACCACAAACACACAACACTATAAAATCAATACGTCCAAACCGAGAACCCAGCCGGTACATCTCAACATCGCATGCGTCCAAACGTTGTTGCTTGTTACATTTATTTTCATGTCACTCTTAGTTTCTTTCACGCCCTGCAAATGTATGCACGTGTTATGCAAAAACATCAGTATTCAAAGAATTCCTCATGAGGATTCGCATTATCATGGCAGTCATCTATTCAGCTTCAGCCTCAAATTTTACAATTTCATGATACAAGAGCAGAATGAAACAGGATCTGAATTGTAATAGTATTTTCTGGGGGTTTTTGTGCTAAAGAAAATAGTGTCATGATTGCCTCTCTGACTGAATAGCAAGGCAACAGCCAAATGAGAAAAATTGTGTTCAGTGGATGCATTGTAATTACTATGCAGATTGTGATAAGACATGCCAAATGTAATAACCGTATTCAGGTATTGCAATGATGCCCACTTTTTTAGCTGCCTTGGCTCCGAAAGTGTGTGTTTTTTTATTTTTCTCCATAAGGAGTTCAAAAGTTCTGCAATAAAAAGCAATGAACCAAAGCAGTGACCTCTGAGATGAATGACAACATGGCAAATTTAATTTTAAGCTAATAAGTATATGAAAATTGAAGGTACAAGGTATGAGACTGACTTTTTTTAAACCAATTTAAATTATGTAATTAAACAAAAAAGTGCTAGTTATCAACTTATCTATATAACACAGTAAACCTCACATTTATTTATAGTTTTATAATTATTAAATATAACTATATTAAAAATAATTTATGCAATAAACATCAAATATATTGTATTTTATAAATATAAAAATTAGCTTAATTCACTTATTTTATAAATATAAAAAATGTATGAAGTATAATGATAACATGTTAACAATAAAATAAAAATGAAATATATCAATATGTTGTATGTCAAATACAATTGTATTGTGTTTAGAGTGTACAGGAACTGATTACATAATTTGCAATGCTTCATGTAAATGAGAAGTCTTTGCTGATCATGTCTGCCAGTCTTATTGTTTCCAAGGTAACAGCATCTTCTCTGATTGGTGGATTTCTTTCCAGGATTATCTTTACTAGGAATCTGGTTGATTTTGAAACAATTTAAAAAATCTAAATCACACTGACTTATGTCATCGCTCAGCCACTTCAAAGCTCTCCTACATCTCGAAAGGTTTTCATGTTTATCCCATATGATGAAAATGAATGGGATTTGTACTTCTGTTGCTCTGTGTTGTAAGTCTTGTATTTTATTGTGTTTTCTCTGGGTTACAGCGCAGGGTCAGAACCTGGTGACGAATAACGTCTCGGTGGTCGAGGGTGAGACGGCCATCATCAGCTGCCGAGTGAAAAACAACGACGACTCCGTCATCCAACTGCTCAACCCCAACCGACAGACCATCTACTTCAGAGACGTTAGACGTAAGCAGTACTGACTTCTCTTTCATGTTCACGGCAGAAAATGTCATAATCCACCCAAAGCCTTCATCGTTTTTTGCAGAACATTCCGATTTTACGCACCAAAACGTCCCTGCAACCCCTTGCAAATTCATAATTTGGCACCTCGGCATAACCAAGTGTGTCTCCTGACGTTTAAAGGAGCAGCAAGGCATTGCATTGTTGACAAAGTCCTTTTCAATAATTGAGTGACAGAATGTAATTGTGTCAGGCTGATTAGAGTCCTCTGAGCGGACCGTTTAGATTCCAGCCTTGAGATTGTTTAGAAGCTCAATGGCGTTCCGCATGCAAAGCATATAATCTTGCCTTCCCTGCTAAATAAGGGCCTTGATGAGCTGCTAAGTGACGGTCTGACCCGTGATCCGAACCTAGTTTAGCTAATGTGTGGGAATAACCTCCTCATTCCCTCCTATGAAGCGTTCTCCATACGAATCACTCCTATAGTAATCTAAGATATGCGGATCGACGTTTTCAGAGGTATTTCATGACATTTCAAATGTAATGTACATGTGTAGCTGGCCTATCTCTCCGTGGGATCCCGTATCCTGCTGTTTGAGTAAATATTCAAGGACGTTTGAAGTATTTATAGATGTCTCGTTCATCTTAACCAGTAAATGTTGAAGTAATACTCTGATAACAGCGTCGTACATTGGGAAAACAGATGCTTTATGGTCTCGGTTGCTATTGGGATTAATGCTTGTTCTTTATTTATGCATGGCCGTATGTCGGTAATGCTTTTTTCCAGTTCTACTCGACCTTTCGGCCAAGATTTCATAGCTTCAGGGGAAACTGGGTTATTTTTACACCCCCTTTCTTTAAAGAAACGCAGTGATTGAATGTTGGAGTTAGAAACACATTTACGTTGCGTTATAACATTCAAGCGAGAAAAGAACACTTTGATGAAAGGTCAGGTTGGAATTTTGTCATGACTTTATCTAATTTAATTAATCTGTTGGTGTACCTAATTTTCCTAGTGGGCATAATTTAGTGCCAGTTACACCCGAAATAAGCTTTCCGATCCATGCGTTCTGCGAGAGAGGGAAAGGCAGGATATGGGTTGGGGTTTAGGGGAGGAAGATAGACAGAAAGACAGGGAGAGTGAGCGTTCTTGCCGCAAGCTCTGACATTATTTCTATGGATGTGACTGGAGGGATGCTCAGCCTTCAATCTCTTTAATGCTGTAATGTATTATTCTGTCTAATGTTTACTGGGCTGCCAGCTCTGTTTGTGAGAAGTATGACCACTTGAACAATTCATAGTTTTATCCCGTCAGCACAGATGGCTGGCACTGTGCATTCAAAATGACACAAGAATGTGAATGTGTCTTAGCGTATATATAACATGCACCTGTGGATGCCGGCCGATGATATATTGCACGGTGCGCTTTTTTATATATTAGCATTATGATTCGCCAGTGGTTTATTGTTGCCGCTGTGCAGTGATGGCTAAGGTTTTATCACATTACATTCAGACCGCTGTTCTCATTTCCTGTCACTTACACTAGAGTTGCTCTATAAGCCTTTTAAGAGCAACTTAGAATTAAACAGTGACTTTAACAGTGACGGTCGGAGAAATGGCCATTTTCATTTTCTCAAGACTTAATGATATTCGCTACAAATTACATTTCCCCGCTCAAAGATATTTTTGTCAATTTTTTTTGTGAACTTCCCTTTCAGTACACTCAAGTGAACTAAATTATAATACTATTAATGCCAAGAGGATGATGACTGTTTCAGTGTCATGTTGTAGCGTCTACTGTATGTATAGCAAACTGTTATTTTCCTGTTCTCCTAGGAAACTTCATTCACTTGGGATCTTTGGGTAAAATGTAACCGACATTGCAGGCATTAAAATTTCATGACTTCATTATTTGGGTACAACAGGTCTCACCTAAAGGAAAATGTGTTTTTTTTTTATTATTTTTTCTCTAAATATTAAAGAACTTTGGGACACAGCTTGTCCCATTTCTCATTTATTTCAATCATAATTGGCAATTTATAATATTTTATATAGTTTATAACCACGTTTGTAATGTTCTGCTATTAGTAAATGGATTATGCACATCTTACAGATACAGTAAAATTGTTAAATGCAAAACACTCCCCCCACCCGCCGTCATTCTGTCCCTTTATGGGCTTTGCAGCTATAATTGTGCTTATTTAGATGTTTTTGACAATGTCACAAAATCTTGTCCAAAAACAATGTGGTATTTATAGTACATTCCTTTCTGAAAACAGGTAAAAAATTGTCTTGAAGACAACAGAAGGGCTCATATGTGGCCATATACCCTCATTACAGACAATATGTTCTACACATTGTAATTTAATCAATATAGAAAGATATATGCTGTTTTGCAAGACAATCCAATTTGTATTTGTTTCATCTAACATGCTACATGTTATTTCCTGCACCCCTTCTCTTTTTATTCTCCAATCTGTGTATCAATTTGAGATAGCAGGCTAGGACAGCTGAAAAGCATCTCAAGCCAGCTGAGACACAGAACAATCAGATTCACTCAATGTCAACCTCTTACGGACTCTGATGCTTTAGAATTTATAATGCGCACTAATGAGCCCTGTTCATATGCAGGTTTGCTTTGCAGAGATTTATATCCTTCATATTCTCCCAGATGTCTGCAGCACTTCTACAGATGTACTGTACTGATGTAGAGAAATTACAGTCCTCCGGCATTACCTTAAGTCTGAAGTCATAGATCTGTTTGATGCATAGTGCATAAACTCCCCCTATCAATTACAATCCAGTCCGAGCACTAAGCAATTCAGGCCTTTCATTCCCCGCCCACCCTCTTTCTGCTCAAACCAAGCTGGCCTCATCATTATTCTTAGGAAGGAGACTTACAAAGTCTTCCCAGGTTCAGGGTTGGGATTAAGAGGAGGTTCTTAAAATGCACCATCAAAGGTCTTAAACTTCTGATGGAGTTGCTCAATTAGAGCTTTGACTTTTTGAACTTTGAGCATGATTTTTGAGTTTGCTCATTTATATGAAGCTCTCCAGAACTTCATGATATAGTATTATACAGTATAACAGTTAGTTCTGGTCTTTGAATCTGATTGGCAGAGTGGAGTTCCAAAAGTTCTTCTATTCAAACTTTAACTGTACTTAAAAATATTATTTATTTTGAAACAATTTTCACTCATAAATTGTGAGTAAATTTAATAAATTATTACAATGACATGGTAAGTAATACATTGAATTAAACATGTAATCTTGAAGTAGAAATACTTAAATAATATTTTCTTGTAAAACATTATCTAATAATATTTGTTTTGTCGAAAAATCATTTTTACAGTGTTTTTGACTTTCCAGACCAGAGTGAGCGGTACAGAGTGAAAAACTTTTATTTTGATTTCGCTATGAACTATTTTAGTGGACTTGTCTATTTTACAAACTAAATTTCATCTGAAACATTTTTTATATGAATTTTTTTTGTAAATTAAAGCATTTAGTAAACTGTTTTAGGGGGCTTATATGGTGCTTAAATATCAAAAAAAAAAAATGGATTATGAAAAATATTTTTCAACTATTATACAAGTATTTCAAATATTTTTAATTTAAAAAAATCTATATCTTTCTTACACTAATGCATCGTTTAGCTTCAGAAGGCCTTTATTAACACCCCGGAGTCGTGTGGAGTAGTTTTATGATGGATGGATGCAGTTTTTTAGGCTTCAAAAACAGGGGCACCATTCACTGCCATTATACAGCATGGAAGAGCCAGGACATTTTTAAATATAACTTTGATTGTGTTAGTCTGAAAGAGGAAGGTCAGGATTAAATTTAAAGGAGTAAAGAGCCAGCAAGACGGCCCTCGGCGACGAGCAGACAGAGGGGCTGCAGCCGGCGGTGGGGTGCAGACAGCTGCAGACCGCCAGGGCAGGATGTCGAAACGCCTCCGTCTGCGCGGCGGAGAACTGTTGGGCAAAGCCCTCCACCACTTCGCCGAATAGGCCGGCCTGGGAGATCGGGGAGTCAAGGAAGCGATGCTTGTCGGCCTCCCTGATATCCGCCAAGGTCAGCCATAGGTGGCGCTGCTGGACCACCATTGTGGACATCGTCTGACCCAGGGCCCGCGCCGTGACTTTCATCGCCCTAAGCGCGAGGTCCGTCGCCGTGCGCAGTTCCTGCAGCACACCTGGGTCAGCACCACCCTCGTGCAGCTGCTTCAACGCCTTGGCCTGGTGGACTTGCAGGAGGGCCATGGCGTGCAGGGCGGAAGCGGCCTGTCCAGCGGCACTGTAAGCCTTAGCCGTCAGAGCGGATGAGAACTTACAGGCCCTGGACGGCAGGCGTGGACTACCTCTCCAGGCGGCGGCGCTTTGCGGGCAGAGCTGCATGCCAATAGCGCGCTCAACCGGAGGGATGTCCACATACACTTGCGCCACCCCCCCGTTGAGGGTGGTGAGGACGGAGGAGGCACCAAATCTGTTTCGGGCAGAAAAAGGTGCCTTCCAAGACTTAGTAACCTCCTCATGCACTTCCGGGAAGAATGGAACCGGATGCAGCTGCCGACGTCCGGCCTGCGCCCCCAGGAACCAATCCAAACCAGCCCGGGAAAGCATAGCGGTCAGCTCTGGATCTGACTCGGGCAACGCCACTCTACCTGACGGTGGCAGCGCAGCCGAATCCTCATCTCCAGAGCCTAGCTCGCCCTCCGATGCAGCGATCGACATCCTGTCCTCTGCCTGTGTCCCACACAAGATGCTGAACCCCGCCCTGTTCGAAGACCCAGCACACTCATGATGTCTCGCCCATCCATTGGACTGATTACACACGTGGTTCAGAGCCAGTCACGCTGAAGGGCGTTCCCAAAGCGTCCTCCGATGCAGCTCGAGTTCCTGAAGAGGAACCATTATTTTAAAATGTAATAATATTTCACAATATTTTCACAAAAGTATGTTTCTGTATTTTTGATCAAATAAATGCAGCCTTGATGAGCATAAGAGACTTCTTTCAAAAACATTAAAAATAGTAATGTGTCCAAACTTTAGACCTAGTATACCTTAGTACTGTATAAAAGAATACTAAAATATACTAAAATAAAATGAAATGTTGTATAAATAAAAAGGTATTTAATCATATTTTTTATTGGGGGTGGGGGCCTCCCACATGAATTTTGCCTAGGGCTTCCAGATGTCCAGAGTGAACTCTGGGTACAGAGTGAAAAAGCTTAACAAACTGGCAAACAAACTGGCCAAATATCATCTGAAACATTTCTCTATGTGAACTTCTTGTTTATTGAGCTATAGTTTTATCACACTCACGACTGATTTGTCTACTCCACGTCTGTATGCCTCACTCTTTATGTTTTCTCAGCCTTGAAGGACAGTCGGTTTCAGCTGGTTAACTTCTCAGACAACGAGCTGCTGGTGTCGTTGTCCAACGTGTCACTCTCGGACGAGGGCCGGTACGTGTGCCAGCTCTACACGGATCCCCCGCAAGAAGCCTATGCAGACATCACTGTGCTGGGTATGACGTCTACCTTCAGAATGCTAAAATCCTGATTATCGATTTACCTCATTGATTCCTTCACTCAATTGAACTTGTCTAATTGAATCTCACCATGACACAATATCAACCAATTACTCTCATGCCGTTTCCAATAACACAAGCCAAACAAAAAGGGACAGATGTTGAGCTATTGATATTGGTAGATCGCTTTTGGCAGGCGTATTGACTGAATTCCTCTTAGATGTTGAAAAGGCTACATCGAGCAATTCGGGAGTTAGCTTTGTGCGCCTCTTGCATTGAATGACACTAACATTAGAGGTTTATTATGCAGTATATTTGGAAATCCTGGAGAGCTGGATGGAATTGAGTGATCTCTAAAGTAGCATGAGCTTTATGAGAATATGCGTTTCTTCACAGCATGAACCCTTAACCACTGGACATGAAAGCATGAAGCAAGATATTAGAAAAAGAGCCCTCAAATGGCAGCTCTCGTTGCGACAGACGCTTTAGTGCCATCAGCAAAGAACCACATGAGTTAATGTGCTATGAAAAAGTGAAACATGAGTAAAACGGCTTGTCCAAATACACAGTGAGACCATCAAGTGTTGCTAATCTAGCCCTGCTGTTCATCAGCCTAACTGAGCCGAGGAAGCCTGTCTAAAACCCAAAATACCCCCAACACCCTCTAAAACCAGCTCAGACCAGCTTGACCTAGATTAATATGGTATTCAGCTGTCTAGTTGTTTTTATCCTGACCAGTTAAAATGTGCCCCAAAACCCACTAAAACAGCCAAAAGACCAGCTTGACCAATGGTCATTATGCTGCTAAAGAAAACCTGCTTATTTCTTTGCTGGTTTATGATGGTCTTCAGCAGGTTTAGCATGGTGACTAGCTATTTTTTCATCCTAACCAACTGGAATGTGCCCAAACCCCCCTACAATGGAGATACACATGCCAAAAATTTGCAGTAATTAACAATTAATGTTAGAAGTATCTGATGCTCAACAAGAATGCATTTCTTTGTTTAAAAACAGCTAAAACAATTTTGTGAAATATTATTACACTTTAAAATAACAGTAACATCACAGCTTCATTAACTGCAGTGAAAACAGTCAGACAGTGGCCTAAGGCAAGAGATTTCGTCTGCTAAATGGATCAAATACTAGCTAGCACGCAGTAAGGATCACGGAAAGCACACATTAAGGTAATAATGACTGGTTTGTAATTAAAAAGTGTTACTCTGAACCACACGAACTTTGTTGTCATTACACCATCGATTGTAAAGCTTTGGGTGATATTATTAAGTGCAAAGCAAAATTTTGACTCACCTAACAATAGAATTATTTTATTTACCAAATTTCATATACTTTATGTGAATGTTTTGCCATACATTTTATATTTAATGTTTAAATGACAGCATATCGTTCCACTTTGGTCTACTAATTTAAATAATCTCTTTATATTTTAGTTTAGTTTATATTATATTAGTTTATATTTTTTATGTTTATTTTGCTTTATTTTGATTTCAGTTTAAGTTTTAGTCATTTAAGTACTTCAGCATTTTTATTTCAGTTAGCTAGCAAAGCAACATTTCTAAATGTTTTACTTTTTTTGTTTTTCTTCTAATATTTACTTATTTCAGTTGTATTTCAGTTACTGAAGATGTTTTTTAATAGTTTTAGTAAAAAAAAAAAAAAAATTTACAAAAACATTAAATTTTTCAAAAGGGTCTCCCAAATTTCATATACTTTATGTGAATGTTTTGCCATACATTTTATATTTAATGTTTAAATGACAGCATATCGTTCCACTTTGGTCTACTAATTTAAATAATCTCTTTATATTTTAGTTTAGTTTATATTATATTAGTTTATATTTTTTATGTTTATTTTGCTTTATTTTGATTTCAGTTTAAGTTTTAGTAATTTAAGTACTTCAGCATTTTTATTTCAGTTAGCTAGCAAAGCAACATTTCTAAATTGTTTACTTTTTTTTTGTTTTTCTTCTAATATTTACTTATTTCAGTTGTATTTCAGTTACTGAAGATGTTTTTTAATAGTTTGTTAAAAAAAAAAAAAAAGTTACACAAACATTATAATTGTCACAAGTGTCTACTGTGTTGGAACGGGGAACGAGGAGAACGCAGAAGAATTACTATTAGCAGTAGGCTATTTAATAGTGATGTTACGTTCAGCACGGAAGCTCCGAAGCTTATATAAAAACAACAACACATTTCACATTGAAGCACTGTATTGGAGCTTGATTCGTTTTGAGAAAAGCATGTTATCTATGACGTCCGAAGCTTCATTCGCCTGAAAACCACGTGACTGCTTCATTAAAATAAACAGATCATAAATGTAATTAATGAATTTGTTTTATTTATTTTACTTATTTTAGTGCCAGTACACCGACACAAATGAATGACTTTGACTTTGGGCTTAAAGGTCCCCTGAAATGCTTAGAAATACGTAGCGTTACTCTGTGTTGACGTCATTTTAACTGAAACAGGAAGACAGGGCGGGACATATCAAGCAGCCCCGCCCCTTTTTAAAATATATCTTCGAAATGCGAATTTTGTCTCTGTTTTGGAGTACACTGCCTTATAGATAACCTTAAGACTAACATACTGATACTAACACCCAAAAAACTTTAATTTTGATTTCATGGGGACTTTAAGTAACTGGAACTAAACGAGGATAATCAGGGGAACACAGGTGAATCAAATGAACACAATCAGACACGGGAGAAACTGGGTCACGGGGAGCACATGGGGAGCAAAACAAACACACTGACAGTCCATGGGCATGACAATAATGATCATAATTCTAATTAATAATTGAGTTTTTAAATATGTGTATATATATGTATATATATATATAATATCTAAAATTAATTTTTTTTTTTTTTTTTTTACAATTATT